TACTATTGTTATTACTATTACTATCACTATTACTACTAATACTACTACTACAAAGAAAGTAAAAACCCGCGTATTGTACAGTAGAGTTAATTTGAACAAAGAATGTGTAAAATCTATTCCTTCTTCACCTCATCCTCACCTCTGATCCTACAATCACAGCTCTTCCCTTTCTTTCCTTGCATCTTTCTCTTTCTTCGTTCTCTTTCTTTTCCATTAAACGCTCCAAAGTCATACTGACGAGGCCCTGTCGCAGTGTTGAATTAAGACGTATATGACTTAATGAATTGAAACTTCTTATCTCATTCTAGCCTCCTTTCCTCATTCTTTCCTGCTTTCTGTATCGAATACGCCTTTGATATTTGACATCCAAGGTCAACCAGGATGCTAAAATCGGCTTAACCTCAGCTCAATCATAAATGCTCCCCCCTCCCCCCCTCCAAACCCTGAATTTAAGCATATAACTAAGCGGAGAAGAAACTAACGAGTGAGTGTCCTAGAAACGGCGAATGAATGGGAGAAAGCCTAACGCTAAATCGTTTTGGCCACTGGCTCTGAAGAATTGTGGCGTACAGATGTAACTGTCGAGATGATTCGTCTACCCAAAGTCTTATTCTTGCAGAAGACAATCACATATGCTGGAGCATGAGCAGTTAATACTTGTCTGTATTATCATTGTAGGTAGTCGCTTCTTCATACTTCAATTAGCTCTTAATTTATAGCATATTATTTTTTATCTGTACCCCTGACAGCTTTTCCAATTGCTTTGACCAATGCTGTATCGCCAGATGGTCAGTGCAATGGGGTTTGAGGGTTAGTTCGTCTCCTGGATGATTATTTCATGGGCGATTTTTCCCTCTGCAGTAATATTTGGCATGGCTTAGCGGCTGATATTTTTCCGAAAATTTTCGAATTGCGTCGTCAAATGGATACCAAACTATGAATTATCAACTGTTTCAAATCCTTCTGTCTTTTTTTAAGAATTTCAGCTGCACCGCTGTTACCAGTCCTGACATTTCTGCAGTTTTGTGCCACACTTACTTTTTTGGATAATTGTTCATGCTTGAAGGCAGAAGCTGAGAAGCGCGAAAATGAAAAGAAGGAGAAGGAAGAAAGATTCGATTTGGATGCCGTTGATAATCCCATGGAGCGTGAAGTGATGGCCGAATTTGAGCGAAGGCGCCGTGCCCGAACATTGACGCTACCAACCGATGATGGGCATGTAAAATTGTTGTTGCGGAAACTCGATGAACCTATCTGTGAGCTACAAAATAACTCCTTTTTTTAAAAAAATAACTCACAAATAACTTAAAATTCAAAAATTTCTAAAAGATTTTTTGTATTTTCTTACGTAAAGATCGAATTTTGCTTTGTTTTCCTGCATTTTTTCTGTTGAAAAAAGGTTTGTAGCTTCGTTTTTGCTGATTGTTTTGCTCGGTTTTTGTTATCGTTTTGTTTTGCCTTAATTTTTTCTTTAATTCAAAACAATTTTAGGTCTTTTTGGAGAAGATAAACTCGACAGGAAAGAACGGTTGCGGACTCTTCTATCAACGATGTCAGAAGAGGAGGTGACAAGAATACTGCACAGTCCAGAA